CTCTCATACACACCTATGGACTGTTGAAATTACACCTGGATTTGGGTTTACGTCGTGACTTTGTTTGGGACTTTGTGGTAGCCGATGTAGATAAACCGATTATTGGTGCTGATTTTTTATCTCACTATGCATTATTAATTGATTGCAGACACAGGAGATTGCTTGACAGCCTCACTACTCTGTCAACCACTGGATCCCTAAAGCACTGCGAGCAAGCAAGTATAAAGACAATAGCAGGCAACAGTGAGTACCACAAGTTATTATCCAAATTCCCAAGCATCACCAAGCCAGGTGGCATTCATCGAGAAGTCAAACATAACACTGTCCACTATATTCGAACCACACCTGGACCACCTGTATTTTGCAAACCGCGCCGACTCGCACCAGATCGTCTCATCATAGCCAAGGAACAGTTTGAAGATATGCTGCGTGATGGTACCGCTCGTCCATCAGACTCACCTTGGGCGTCAGCGCTACACCTGGCACCTAAGAAAGGAAACGGCTGGAGACCCTGTGGAGACTATCGAGCTCTCAATTCACGAACAATTCCAGATAGGTATCCAATTCCTCATATCCAGGACTTCTCACATCTGCTTTCTGGAGCCCAGGTGTTCAGTAAAATAGATTTAGTAAAGGCATTCAACCAAATTCCAGTATTTAAGGACGACATACCAAAAACTGCCATAACAACACCTTTTGGAATGTTTGAATTCCCATTTATGACCTTCGGTCTTCGCAATGCTTCTCAAACATTTCAAAGATTTCTAGATGAGGTGCTCAGAGGGCTAGATTTCTGTTACTCGTACATAGATGACATCCTGATATTCTCAAGTTCTGAGAGCCTTCACCTGCAACACCTGGAAGCTGTATTTCGTCGTCTGGAAGACTATGGATTGCATATCAACGAAGCTAAGTGTTCCTTTGGTCAGTCAGAGATAACCTTTCTAGGTTACATCATATCTGCTGAAGGTACTCGACCATTGGATGACCGGATCCAGACACTTCAAGATTATCCTCCACCAAAAACTGTGAGTGGTTTGCGTAGATTTTTGGGAATCATGAATTTTTATCGCCGGTTCATATCTCACGCAGCAGAAGATCAGGCATTACTTCATAACATGATTGCTGGCCCTAAGCTCAAAGGCTCCACGCTGCTTACTTGGACACCTGAATTACTGGAAACTTTTGTCAAATGCAAAGCTGGTGTTAACAAAGCTACATTATTAGCTCATCCTATGCCTAACTCTCCGCTAGCCCTTGTCACTGATGCCTCAAACTCAGCCCTGGGTGCGGTCCTGCAGCAACTAGTTGACAAAGAATGGCAACCTTTGGGTTTCTTTTCCAAGAAACTGAACAAGACTCAACAGCTGTACAGTACTTATGATCCTGAACTTTTAGCAATTTACGAGAGCATAAAACATTTCAAGTACATGCTTGAAGGTCGGCATTTCATTATATTCACTGATCACAAACCCATAACGTATGCATTTCAGAAGAAGCATCAGCAATGTTCACCAAGACAGCTCAATCATCTGGAGTTAATTTCACAGTACACAACTGATATAAGGCACATCTCAGGAAAGGACAACATCACTGCCGATGCCTTGACACGCATAGAAGCTGTCCACGCACCACCAGATTTTGAAACGATTGCTCAATCTCAAAAACACAGTGAAGAACTACAGCAAATCCTCAAAGATCCCTCATTTTCTCTCAAGCTAACTAAAGTTCCAATACCAGGTACCAAAATCCATATTTTTTGCGATGGTTCAACTTCAAGAATGCGCCCTTTCATACCTGAGGACCTACGACGCCAAATTTTCAATTCTATACACAGCATGAGTCATCCAGGAATAAAAGCATCTGTCAAGCTTGTAACTGAGCGCTTTGTCTGGCCCTCTGTACGGAAGGATTGCCGTACCTGGGCCCAGGCGTGCATTTCTTGCCAACGAAGTAAAGTACAGCGACATACTTCAGCTGCTTTAGGCAATTTTCGACTTCCTCCTGCTCGCTTCAGCCATGTGCATATCGATTTAATCGGTCCCTTGCCACTCTCAGAAGACTACAAATACTGTCTCACAGCGATAGACCGCTTCACCAGATGGCCAGAAGTCACACCATTACGTGACATTACCGCTGAAACTGTTGCCAAGGCATTTTTCACCACGTGGATATCTAGGTTTGGCTGTCCGCAAACAGTAACGACAGATCAAGGGCGACAATTTAACTCACAACTATTTAAATCCTTGACAGGGCTCTGTGGGACAAGGCTTCATCACACCACGGCGTACCACCCAGCGTCGAATGGTATGGTCGAGAGGTTACATAGGACGCTCAAGGCTGCAATCATGGCCCATGAAGAAGGCAAATGGACTGAGGTCTTACCAGCCGTACTCTTGGGCATGAGATCTGCCTGGAAACCGGACATCAAAGCTAGCGCCGCTGAGATGGTTTATGGTGAGACTTTGAGAATACCTGGTGAGTTCTTTCATGTCTCTAAAACTACACCAAGCACCACGGAATTTGTCTCGCAACTTAAAGAACACATGTCCCGATTAAATCCTGTGCCAGCTGCTCGACACACCAACAAGTCTGTATTCGTACATGAAGATCTCAAGACGTCATCACATGTATTTTTACGAACGGATGCACTCAGAGGCGCATTGCAACCACCTTACACAGGACCACACAAAGTATTATCTCGCACTGATAAGACTGTTACCATACACTTAGCCAGAGGACCTGTCACAGTCTCCATTGACAGAGTTAAGCCTGCTTACGTCTTAGCAGCAGACAGTCAGGAGGCGATACCTGGTCGCATAGAGATCGACGTACCACAGTCACGAACGACACGTTCTGGACGTCGTGTTAATTTTCCTAAATTTTTCCAGGAAGAACCTTGATTCTCCCAGGGGGGTGGTGTGGCGGCTTCGTACATCACTACGGAACGCGCACAACACTACCAAGCAACGAGCATCGATCTCCATAGCAACGAGTCCTGTTTTTTCGTCTTTTCTTTTATCAATTTTTCATGTGGGATTGAATATAATTTCCTAAAGGTTTGGCAGTGGTTTTATTGAAGGGAAAACCCACAGGTTGTTCCACAACCCTGTTAGACGAAGATAAATGTTTTACATTTTATGGAAGCAAAATTTTATCCGGCTATTTTGCCGTTTCACTTCACTGAAAATATCAAAGAACTTTCAGGTTTAATTAAGGACTTTTAGATTTAGTACAGAAGATAACTTTAGTTTTTACCTAAACCTGGCATTATTATTTATAATAGCTACGAGTTTGTAGCAAATTAAAGTCAATTCTGAAACCTGTAAACAATTATCTTATAAACTGACGAATTTTACGCGGAATTTGTTAGAATAGCAATCATAAACAATATTAAAGTTATTTTACAAAATATTCACGGCTAATAAATATAAATGTCAAGACGTAACAAACTTAATTGTATTTGGACGAGTAGGTATGTTAAACGGTTTCAATTTCAAAATTCGGCGACCAAATTAATTAATAAGTACATAGTTGGATATTATTCTACAAAATTATACTTAGTTGGATATTAATAGTACTACAACTCAAAATACAATCAATTATCAATTAGTTACCTACATTGTGAAAAGTTATTGAGTTTATTCAAAGGTATTGCCCGAAATTGTGCGTTTTATTTAGATGTATGAAAGACTGTCAAATCTATCAAGAAAATCGGTTGATTGTCAAGTTGACATTTTCCTAACCTACTCCACTTACAGCCAGTCGTTCCCCGCTAGTAGCCCGCCCAGGCCATCAAATGGACAGTCCAACAAAACCGCCCAGCCTAATATAGTGATTTTGCAGACGATTTGGCGCGCCGCGGACATTACGCAAGCTCAGACCTCATTTTAATCCGTAGAGCTAGAATAATACACTCGGTGTCAAATAAATCGCACCTCTCGCGACAAGCACTTTCAAACGTATGCATCCCCACTTCCCACCAATATTGGTACCATTTGAAAGCCTAGTTCTAAACTCCATTTCAATATTAGGAAAGGTTTTTACTCCAAAAATGTATCTTTAGAAGGATCCAGAGTCTTTTCTTAAAGCGACAGGTAGTTACGCTTGAGCCAACTTTTATGGCTATAAAATTGTTAAATTGGGATTAATCGCTATCCATATGCTAAAGAGGACACGTGATATCAATCATTATTTGATTTTACAACCACAAAAATTGGTCTAATTGGTTGGTCCCAGAGGTGAGCCCCAAGTGAGGTCTTTTTTCAAGTCACATTTATGGTACCTGTTAATTGTTTATAAAAAAATAAATGTGTTTTTCTTTATGTTTATTTATTGACATTCAAATAATACCAATATTGATAGTGAACCATGTTTGTGTCAGAAGAAAATCTTAAAAGTTGACGCGGGAGGCGCGATTTATTTGACGTCGAGTGTAAATCCCATTTTGTAATGAAACTGATTACGCTAACAATTTGGAGGGACACTCTTGAGATTGGCAGATTTTGGGCCCAGCAGTTTTAATAAGGGATCTCGCAACAAAAAATATTGGGAAGTTTTCTATGAATTAGAATGAACAATAGACATCTCGATCTATACGTGTAATCGAACTTGTTTTATGTCGAAAGTTGCCGTTAATTGAACTCAATATTTATTAATTTAAACTTAAGTTACGTATCAAAAGTTGGACCTTTCCGAGTGATCATGCGATCTTTGACTTGTGAAACTTGTTAGGTAGATAAGTTTTGAACGTTGTTTTGAAAGTGTTGACTCTTTTGGTTGTTTTGTTCTTATTTAAAGTGAGAACCTACTTTCACTGTCTTTTGTTTTAGTAAAAGAACCTTGAATTTAAGTAGGTAGATGTTTGTTATTATCTTACAATGAGTACGTAAAAGTAATCGTATTGGTATTTTAAGTACCCATTTGAATGAAAATAAGAATGGAATCTAAATTAATTCCTGTCCCGCATTTTGTGCACCGGCAAATGCCACAGAGCGATATCATTGCTCGGAAAATTTAATCAGGATATTTCCGCTCAATTCCGACGCGTCAGTAACAGCGTCTGGTGGGTTGTCGCGACGCAAAAAGGCTAAGGGAAAAGCATTTAAATTCGACAAACAATTTTTGTACTATGATCTAAACAATGGCACATGATAATTATGGAACGTATGTACCTACCTACTTACTAGTCATTTCTAATCTGATATTTTAATCACAGGAGCTAAAATTAAAGAGTTAAATCCATTTAAACCAAGATTCGTAGATAGGTACTAGGTATAACTTAACACAATAACCCTAAAGGTCAAGTTCAGTAACGCCAGCTTCCAAAATAAGCAGAACTAAAATAAATTTTCTTATCTGAGTTACATTTCGGGGTTGTTTTACGGATATTGGAAAAGCCCGCTTTCTTTAAAGTTACACCGCAGCTATACTCCAAATCTCGATGTAGCAGACAAGATACAAACCGCTTGGAAGTGTTCCAAGTCGAGTAGGATGAGTGTGTATTAAACGTGACAAACCTCGCTGTAAACACATTAGAACAAACATAACACCAATCAAACTTATACACTTTGCAAATATAGTTTATTCCTTTGACACTAGTTATATTTCTATTAGTGCGAATAACAGAATTTGAAAACTGATAAATTTACCTACGTTTGTTTCAAGTTATATTAGGTAGATACCTATAGATAGTTAAGACTACTAAACATTACATTTATACTACTAAATCATTTATTTATCTGTGTAGTATTTAAGTGCCTAGGTAAGTAAGTAGTTTTTGTTAAAAACTGTAAACTAATTAAGCAAAATTAGGTTAAAGTCGTTTGTTTCGATTAGCATAATTCACCTCGATCCAGCATCCTGTAATGGACAGAATTCAATGAAACGTTCCTTTAATAAGGAATGGAATATTTTCAATTAAGTTACAATTTAGTTACCTACTTAACAACTTATAAGTACTTACGTGTAAATCCGCCTTTATAGAATACATACATATAATATACAAGAAGTAGAAAATATTTACGATATATTATTTAGATGTGAAAATAAACATCACTGTTAGGTATACGATATTGTTAATGGAAATGCGTATTGATCAAAGCGTCCGTATCTTCAGGAATCCATAGGAATACTAAACAGAAGTTATTAAGTTTGTTTGTCAATACATGTTTATTGATTGAATGTCGAGAACACCATGTTTTCGAAATGTTTTTTAAATCGTTGTGTTGACGCGATGATACTTTAAAAAAAAATTGGTTTCGATACCAGTACTTAGTGCAGTACTTAGGTACAGTGTGGGCCAAAATTTGCAAATAGCAACGCTTGATTTCTTTAAAACGATTCGAGGTATCTAAAACGACGCGTGGTTGATGGGAAACTGCGCTTAAAAGGTCAACTTTCACACTTGCAATTCCAACTTATTATTCAATGGTTTAAAAATTGTATTTTGTGAAGGGAACTTTAATCAGCATATTATTTAGAATCTATTTCACTTGTAGGTTTTATTGTAAAATTTTGCATATGGACCGGGGCAAGTGTGCCAATTTTCTACTTAAATAGATAAATTGGTAGAACAATAAAAAAGCTACGTACGCCGTTTTAAAACAGCACAGTATCTTGAACGTGCTAGCGTTGTTCCATAGCTGGCGCGTTAAAGAAAAGCTTGTATTGTTCTCAATATTTGCAAAGGTCGTAACAACCCCACCGTCACACTAATTGCCTTGGTATCTAATTTCATACATTTTCGGCCCACCCTGTATAATCATTCTCCGCCCACAAACCGTTTCTTACGTCAATTTCATAATAACTAATAACTCTAGGGCTTAACTTCTCTAAAAATAACACTTCATTTTGGTCTGAAAACTTTAGCAATTAACTTTTCTATTTTAGTTTCTTTGAAATCTTTAAAATTTAAAGATTTAAGTATTAGTATAGTTTAAATACTTAGCTGTGCCCGCGACTTCGTACGCGTGAAAATAAGTAGTTTGAATATTTCCCGTTTTCGCAAAANAAAGTTAATTATTTGGGTTACGATTCCGTATCGCGCCATTTCACAGTTTTGTGTACAAGCCCTAAGGTAAACCGCGATATAGAGAATAAAGATAAGAAAGTCAATTCCGTTATTTTGTTGGAATATCGTGCAAATTTTAATGTGGCTAGCACGTTTCTGCGTTTTCATTTAGGACTCGTGGATACCAACTGTGTTCCAAAATTCTCATCTTACCCTTGGCATACCTTACATTTTCATATTATCCCTTGCATAAAAAAAGATGAATTTCTTGTGTAGGTAATCATGCTTCTGCTGTCGATCCCATAACTATACCAGTAGGCCAAGATGCGCGCCGTGATAACTTTTATCGACGTCAAAATGTATGGGCAAAATCGATAAAATGGCGTGATAACCGCTTACCGCGACTCGCATCTTAGGCCTACTGCATATTGTGGCAAAATTTGTAACCAATAATGAATGCAAATCGTATAGGTGCCTAATCAAGGACAAATCCAATATTAAAAGGCCATGCAGACCATATTTTACGTTCGCAGGCAGGTTGAGACAATAACAATAAAGCCGGCGACACACCGACGCGCTCAATTAAGCCGCGCGAACATTAGGCACATTGTGAAAATCAGCTTCCCGAGTGCGGGCTAAGTATAGACTAGCTTGCTTTTCTTAATTAGTGTGTGATCTTAATTTAAAATATATTATTTAAAACTCAGATTTTCATACCGTCCAGTGAAAATCTACCACACTGCTATCTACTTATAAGGTTTTATTTATTTATGCCATTTATTTAACCGAATGCACTGGTAAATAGCAACTATTTTGTAGCGTACATAGAGTCAAAAGAATGTAATACAAAAATCGTAACCCTCCTTTCTGGCGCAGTCGAGTAAAAACAGCTGAGTACTTATCCCATATTGTATTAATTTGTAGCTTTTATCAGTCACTCTTGTGGCTTCTATTTAAAATAAACTCAGACCTGTTATGAGCATCATCTGTTCTATTACTAGATTTCCCATAGTATTTTTAAAATTTATGGGGAATTAGATACAAATAAGAGAAGCCTCCTCTAAGTTCCAATTACGTAGAGCCGAACGTAGCACGTAACTGCAGCGGAACGCAATCGCAACACCTGCGGGTAACGGCGTATAGTGTGGGACTCAAATATCGAACCAAGGTGTGGCACGTATGGTTTGGTGAAATCACATAATAGTGCGCAGCTTGATTTTCTGTTGTTCTTACACAAAATAACGACGAAGTGGAAAAGACAGCTTGCTATTGTGCTTACTATACTCGTGCAATATCAGCTCTTAGGGGGCCATTATTCACGTGATCTTTTTTTAAGCATTTTTAACGCCCCCTCCCCCTTGGTGATACATGGTGAGGTTTAAGACTACCCCCTACCCCCCACCCAACATCACGTGTATTTTTAGTATCTACAAAAAAAACATTTTTTTATCCTGATTGTTTGTGTTCTACCTAAAGAGATGAGTCCCGCTGAATTTCTTCAAAGTTCTACTAGTAAAATAATGTTCACTGGAAAAAGTCATTAGTTCATTGCAGTTTACTGCTGGCCAAGAGACAGGGAGACTATTTCAAGTTTTTATTTTCCGTCATTATTAAATTTAATAACCTGTGCGCTACAATTTGTCTTACATGTGATGATTAAGTGCTAATTTTCTAATTTTCCCGCCTTAGGCAGTTCGAATTTTTTAAGTTATTTATAATTTTCAAAATTTTATGTTCACCTAATTTGGTTTTCAAACTATATTATCTACGAGTACGAGGAGTAGGTACATCTCCACACCAATTTGTTAAACTTGTAGACTAAAGTGGATAGCTTATGCTGATCAAGCGCAGATTAGCACCTGCTCCACAACTCCAGGTTCCAGGAATATGTAGCAATATGTAACGTCTAAGCCGCGTAGACATCACTATTAGTGCCTATTAGCCGGGAGCCGATTTAAGCCGGCTAATGAAGACTAATCGACGATTAAATCAACAGGTTAACGGGTCGCCTGCCCGCCTGTTTGGTATTGATGCGTTGTTAATCTTAGTTTGAGGTGACAATGTACGTACGGTGTAACTCGCCTTTAATTCAGAACGTAATTATTGCGCGGGTAGTAAGCTTTAGTTGGGTCAGTTCTTTACGTTTTCAACTTTATCCCTTTCTATCAGGTAAGATGCAGGCCTGGTTTTGGCTTCCCCATTCGTTCGTTCGTTTCAGCCGAAAGACGCCCACTGCTGACAAAGGCCTCCCCCAAGGATTTCCACAAAGACCGGTCCTGCGCCGCTCATCACATCCAGGCACCTCCCGCGACCCTCACCAGATCGTCGGTCCACCTAGTGGGAGGCCTGCCCACGCTACGTCTTCCGGCTCGAGCCGGAAGGATTAAGAAAAGGAAGAAGAAAAATTATCAAAGGTTAATAGCTTGGGTTAACCTTGAATAAGTATTGGGTATGTGCCTGTATTTTGAACACTATCGGATGAAAGCTGTATTATTAATTTCAGTAAGAAGTAAACGAATGAAGACGTAATAAATCTTCGAATGTTAATTTTATGAACTCTAGTCGTTGACAGAGCGTCAATTTGATTTAATTGGTAATAAATACATCATTCAAGACGACAATAATTAAGTTTTTAATTAGTAATAAATATATCATTAAAGGATTTTAGTAGGACTATTGAAGTCTTATAAACAATTGAATTCCAGGTCAGCAAGAAACAAACTTTTAAGTCTTCAAAGTTCACATCCTAACAAATAGACTGATAGATAAAACAAACGCGCATCAATCCCATTAATTTAATGGATACAATAAATCCCTTCCGCATTTAAATCTAATGACGATCAAGCCCACCAACAAAAGAGTCTAATCCCATCTAGACTTGGCCATTAATATTCCTAGATATATGTTTTGACACCTGAGAAATGGCGGCCATGTTTCACGCGGCGATAATACGCGCGACATTTGTTACATTGTTCTTTGTTTTAGAGCTGACGAATGCTCAGGCGCATGGTATTTATTCTCGTTGATGGGATGATGCGTCGTTTATCATGGTTTGGAATATTTATGTAAATTAATAA